GACCGGCGAAAAGTACCTGCGCTTCAATTGGTATGCGTCCCCGAGAGAACCTGTCAATGCAAAGGGACTGGTGGCAGTCAAGGACGCTGTCCGGGCGTCTGGTGCGGAGCGCGAGAAAGAATGCGCACCCTTTCTACCAAAGGTTCTTGATGAGCACCTGACAGCACGGATCGCTGTCAAGTTCGGGTACATGGCGCGTGAGTATAGGCAATATCACAAACAGGGGGGACAAACGAACCAGGAAAGGCAAGCAGACGATGACGATGGCTTTGGACCAGAGGGGGGGGATGACGAAGACGCTCCCGGGCCAGAGGGCGAGACAGAGGCCGCGCGGCTGGAACGAAGTACCCGGCGCACCCGCGCGGTGACTGTGAGTGATGACACTGATGAAAAACATGACGTTAGCATGCATGAACACACATTTTGACAGGTCGCTGCGCAGCGGCAGAGGAAGGCCAAGGGTACCCCATGGGGCGATCCGAAATATGTGGGGGCGTTTCTGGTGAATGTGCAATCAGACAACGAAGACGAACACAAGGAAGGAGAGCGTCCTGCAGGCGCACCTGTGCGTTACCGACGTCGCAGGCCATGGTGGCGCAGCGCATTGGTGAGTTCAGATAATTTGCCACGTTCATCCTGTTGGCATGGTGGTGGAGCATTACGTTCGCGTTCGTGTTTGCTATCGCAGAGTTTCGAGAATTTGTGCAGCTGGCCCTGCGCCGCGATCTGGATTTTCTTCGCGAAGTCGTGGTGCTGCTGGAGCGTCGCCTTCGGCTGGTCACGGTGCTTCTCGAGGAGTGTGATGATGTGGTTGGGCACGCCGCGTGCCCGCAGCTCAGGGGCAGAGAGCGCCACGTAGCTGATGATCTCGCTGAGGGCCCTCGGGTCCTTGATGTCGCTCAAGCCCTGCGGAGCCGTGGCGCCTGAGGGGCCAGCGGACATGTCGCCACCGTTGACCCTGAGAATCATAAGCCGTCGTTGGTGGAAGAGCTGGCGGAGGTACAGGCTGTCGAAGTCCTGCAGGCATGGCTTGTACACCTGCTCGATGTGCATGGCGATACCAGGCCCTGACTTAGTGGGCTCATGGCTGTTACCGGGGAAGTTGACGAACCCAAGCCGTCCCGGGATGACTGGGCACTGATCCTGAGAGATCACGAGAGAGGGAACGAGCAGAGGAGGTTGATTCGGCGCAATCTGCTGGACCGTGACGTTGATCCGGAAGCCGTCCTGGCTCATGACATCGTAGTGCAGCTGGTACAGGTTGATCTCGCGACCCTCGACCTTGAGCATTGGCTGGTTGACGGGAAGTTCCGGTACCCATTGCTGGAAGTAGGCCTTCGTGAAGTGTCCGACAGTCAGCGGAGAGTACGATATGTTGAACAGAGGGCCAACGCCGTTTGGAAGAGGGTTCGGCCTTCCGTGAACAGTGGGCTGTGCACCACCATGGGACGGCGTGCTGTCATCCGGTACGAGCAAGGGTGTTGGTATCGCGCACTGGGGCATGTTCAGCTGCGACGTGGCTATCTGTGGAGAGAGCTGAGGCGTACTCATCTGGGGACCCGATGGTCGAGACGTTAGAAGCGAGACGGGCAGCAGTGGATACAGGACGGGGCTGTTGAACTGGAAGGGACGAAAGATGTCGTGACCTTGCCAGTGATCAGAAGTTGTCTTGGGTGGTGGGGACGAGGGTGAATTGCGTATGCTTACCCAGAGTTGTTCCAGCTCCAGCAGCTCTACGACGAGGTCGATGCACGACCGGATCCTTCCCCCGATCAGGCGCAACTCATGAAGGAACGAGTACTGGGGACAGACCTTGAGAAAGTCAAGCCCCCTAAAGCGCGCTTGAAGAACCGGGTGCGCGCGTGGATGGTGAAGGCGGACGTGCTTGAGGCGAACCCCAATTGGATGGAGTCGGGGCGAGTGGCTAGAAATGGGACGCTGTGGGGGGAGGAGGAGGATCCAGTCGAAGAACCGGTAAAGCGGAAGAAAGCAAAGCAGGGGGAGGGTAGAAAGACGAAACGACCGCGCGGCGACACGGATGCTGTTGAAGCTGCGCGCGCGCGCGTTGCGAAGGTGACCAACGGGATTGATCCGGCATTGATTGTTGCGTCGTTGGAGGATTAGTCGAGGGCGTGTCAGCTGGTGCGACGTCATGTTCTGGGTGGGGAGTTCTCGGATTCTTGGTCCAATTCATCTTGTAGGTCGTTGAACCAAATGTCGTCTGGCTCAATTCCTGTCTGCATGTACAAAGATGATGATCAATCGCAAAATGTTTGTATGAAAATCGGACTTACACGATCAAATGAGTGCACCACCCATATTGGATGCTCAAGCCCACGAACATTGCTCGTCACGGGTATAATCGCGACTGCAGCAGAAAGAAGGGAACTGTCGATAAACTCGATAGGGAAGAACCGGTGCTGATATGCAACGTAGACTCCAAGCTCGGTCGAACTGTACAACAACATTAGGACCATGTTAGGTATAAGAGTGAGTACATACTACATCGACCAAGGGAAGGTTGGCATACTGTCATCGGACAGCATACGCTCTACTAAAGAGCAAAAAATGGGGGGGAGGCCGTGAACAGTGACCTCGAAATGATACAGGAGGTGACATGGTGTTCAGCCATCCGGAAAATCGACACATGCATAAGAGTCTGCCTGTGTGCGAGAATCCGCAGTTGATCCGAATCGAAGCCCATCCTTGCAGATGAAGGGGAGAACCTTAACTGAGCCATCAGCGAGAAGGATTGCATCATGGTCTGATGTGCGAGTCATATCGTCAGCAATAATGAGATCAGGATGTCGGGACCTAATAAATTCGAGGAGGAGGCGGTAGATCTCAGGATGAGCAAGACGGCGAAGATTGGTTGGTTTCTTGACACGTTTGGGCTTCAGGATCGTTGACGCGCCTCGCGCAAAGGCTGCGATCTGAGTGCGGAGGGTCCCACGAGTTGCGCCCTGCTCGGTACATATGCGCTCGAGAAGGGCGCGCTCGTCCGGCGTGGCATCAGCAGGCAGTGTAGAAATCTGGAACCGTTAGCACGCAATTGCAATCATAGAACATTCATTGCAATGGGCAGTGCTTACCAACTCGTACAAACGATGCTTAGGGTTAGGGAGGGAGATCGAAACCGAGCGAAGCGAGGTGAGATCGACCGGTTAGGGTTGAGGGTGGGTTAGGCGAGCTGAGTCAACGGGGGCGTTGTGTGCTACAACGTCCCGTCCCGTTTCGCCTTTTATAGCTCATCAGGACTCTGCTTAGTGCATCCCTTTCGGGAAGTGCTTATCTCTTTGCCGTCTGTCTATCCGACGGCACAGGAGATAAGGTCAATTATGCTTACGATGCCGAACGCGGCCGGAGCTTTGTTCCGATAATGACTAAGTCCGATCGGACTATGTCATCATGATTACTTACTTACTAATCACCGATCGGACTTAATCTTATCGCATCTCTAAGTGCGTGTAGCGCTTAGATAAGATAGTCCGCCCTTATCCTTATCTTATCAAAGATGGAAGAGTGGAGACGCACCTGACTTGATGTCACATGCTGTTAGACACGTGACTCAAGCGCCCT